TGTTGTTGTTGTTGCTGTTCTTGCTGGTGTTCTTGCTGGTGTTCCTGTTGCTGCTGTTGTAGGTCTTGTTGTAACTGCTCATTGTAACTACTACAAATAGCATGTGAACCTGCCTGTACTTGAACGCAAACTAGCGTTGCATTAAGGAAGATCTGTGTTGAAGATTTGGGCGCCGCCGCTACTGCTAGATTACCACTACCAATACTGATTGCACTACGTAAACTGGTGTTGTTCCTAGTGCTGCTACGACGACGACGACTCACTATGACCTCTTCTACCACCATCACCGCTGCTGATGTAACAACCCATGCTGGCAGTGACTTGATTCTTAGCTGCTACTGTTCTCCACATTACGGCGTAATCATTACGGAGCTCCTGGTTCCCCTGCTGCTCGCATGTCAGAGTGTAGGTGCCTTGTAGATGTCCATGTTGTGCGAGATGGGCGTGCCGGGCCTAGAGTTCACTCTGTCAGCCGTTTGGGGCTTGCCGTCTGTGCTCCTGGAGGCTTCGTCACGGATGTTATACTGTAGTTATATGATGATCACAGCTATATCGTTTATAGATTCTACGATGACTATAAGATAGTTGTACCTACATCTGCAATCCCGTATACTACTATCATATTACGATACTTATGGCTTCTGAAGCACACACACACACACACCTCGAGCTCTGCATCTCCCTGCCTCTTAAATGGAACCAGGCCACGCATGTCTAACCCTTTCCATTTGCTCTAAAATACTTCAAGACTTTAAGATACCATAGTGTACTACAGAATACGACAAATATGCTATAACCATACTAACATGATAACAGAATAATTGAATAAACCAGAAAAATATACTCTCACATAGACCCCAGCTTCCTAACTGCAAGTTCTGCACTCCCGGAACAAGATCCGCAAACCCAGAATTTCTCAGAATGTCTAGTAAGGCTGAGCATTGAAAGCACTGCCTTCAAGTCTGTAACTACGGCCCGCAAGGCTCTCGGGACAGACTCGGGAACATGATGATGAGAAGAAGACCATACACCCTCCGAAGTTCAGCTCCGCAAATCCCGCCAAGGCCAAGGGCAGCTGGAAATACCAGCCGTCCGATCCAGTCACGGCCACCTAAGGACAAAGCTCCGACAGGAAAGCTGTTTGGCGGCTTATTTAGCGTCGACAGCCGCAGGACAGAGCTGCACCGCCCGGCTACTGAGTCAAGAACGCGGCTCGCCTAATTAGGATGGGTACATATTCCGTTTACACTTTATTTACACTACTGACATCGGTGCTCCCACAGAACCCTCAACCCTCAGCCTGCACAGCACTGCAGCGCTGCGGCAGATTCACTTTCAAAATATCCCCGCACTCCCGGACCGGACCTCTCTCGTGTAGAGTTCCGATTGGCTCATCGAATAGTGCGATAGCTTGAATGCCAGGTTCCCGGGCGTTGTCTCTCCAGACCTTGGTTGACTCCACCCCTCCCATACCCTCACATAGACGACTCGGACTCTGCAGCTCTAAACCACCTAATCCCTACACCCTGGTTCCTAAAAGACCGTAATTACTATAAGAAAGAATATACTGCAATATAGTATCCCAAAGCAGAGCATGGGCTGCCCAAGCCTGATACTTAAGCCCAAAACCCCAATTCCCAGTCCCTGCCAAAAGAACTGAAGTCCCCCAACACCCCAAATCCCCCCAAAAAAACACAGAACCCTAAACCCTAAACCCTAGGTCTTTTCTGGTCCCCCCGGCGTTGTTCATGGCCGCTGTCCAGAATCCTGCCGGCTCCTGGAAGCTCGGAGCTGCTTGTTTAGGGTTTTTGTTTTAGCACCTTTAGGGTTTAGGGTCTAGGGTTTAGTATTCGGCTCTGTTGAGTTTTCTTGTAAAGTGCAATGGACGTTCGCTCGCGCGACCGCCCTTCTTTGGGGTTGGTTTATTATTTCGGTTCTTTTTGGTGTGGAAATAGGGTGTAAATTTTGGGGGGTGGAGGGGGGGTGTAGACACTATCATGATCAGGACCAATATCATCCTTACTTCTAACATCTCATTCTCATTATCAGGACCTATCACGATTATTCTCCCTATTCTTACTCGTACCATTATAATGATCATGATTGCGCTGTTCAGGCAATAGCCGCTGCTGTTCTATGATGATGAGGAGCATCGTTTGTACTATTATGACTCATGATGTATGAGTGTTATGATTGGTAATACTGCCATGATCTTCATAATGATGTAATTGTTGTGGATGCTACAACATTTACGATAAAGGGTTGCTAGGGCATGAACACATCTAGAGATAGAAGTAGCAATGACAATACCAGCGATACCAGTGATAATAACAGTTGCAGGAAAGTGCAGAGAAGGGGACAGCATGAATACCGAGCAAAGCCTCTTTGATCGTGATTGTGAGTTGGGGAATCTTGTCTTCAAGGTATGGTGGGAAGGATGTGCGGTCTGGGGAGTGCAGTAGGTGTTTGCACGGTCAAGCAACGAAGCTGCAAGACGATTTGTCTGCAAGCGTAGGCTGAGATGGAACCCCGAGGGGAATTTCTAGTACAGAAGCCTGCGGCTAAGTCCAAAATTCGACAAACAAAGACTGTCAAGTACAGAGCACGGTGCAGAAGTGCGACCAAGATGCCAAACAGTCTTGGACTCAACATTACCAGAATACGAACAGTCACAACGTAAACACAAACCAGGACTCCAAAAAACTATGGACCGCTCCTGATCACTTTCCAGCATGCCCGACAAGAGGGGAATCGCACCGACCTCGGCTTCTTCCGTGCGTTGGCTTGCGGCAGCTAGGCTGCACAGCACTTCAAGCACGTAAACCCTTGCTCCCTGCTACCGGCAGTATCTGTGGCCTGAGAAAACATTCAGAATGTCACGCGTTACTCCTGGGGCAAGTGCTGCGAGGTTACCTTCCAACACATTGTGCCTCGGCACAAGCAGAAAGCTGCGTTTTCTTCCTGTTGCTCTTCACAGGTGGGCATGTGAAGGCGACCTGATGCGACTTTGACAGACTCATGCAGCTGCAAGTTCCGGCAACAAGTGTGAGAGAAAGAGTCGGAAGAGCAGAACAGCGGGGAACTTCAAGGCACTGGCATCTCCATTCCCGTCTCGATAAAGAACCTCAGGCTCTGAAGCGGCTCTCGCGCAAAATATGTGGCAAGGAGAACACGCCAGCTGACTGTATGCTATCCGCACCATGATCTTATCAGGGAATGGCAACCAAGCATGTATTCTGTTGGCAAGAAAGGAGCATATGCCCGATGATGTCGAAGGCCACGTTGCCCTTCACCAGCACGTAGTTGGTGCTGTGCACGGCCACCGCCTTGCCGAGCTGTACTGGGCGGGGTCAGGAAACATACGTAAGAACAGCAAGCATTCGTTGTGGCTCTTGACCTCATAGCTATCTGAAGCATTTAATTGCTGACACTATCAATATTTATTTTCTTGTCAATTTCCTTCTGCGACAATGCTACTACGAGTACGAGCTGCAGGTTGCTGACTGGGAGTCTGCTCCTCCTACTCCTACAGCAACCTCCTGGTGCCGCAGCCACTGCTTCTGCGACTGCTACTGCTCGAGGAGGACGAGGAGGACGAGGACGATGGACGCTGCTACTGCAGCATGTTCTGTAGCTGCTGATTGTGAGCTCCAGTCTTAGTGTTGCTGCTGGCTTCACGTATGGTGATGTTGCAATGGTGGTGGCCGCGGTGATGATGATGGTCATGGCGACGTTGATTATGGTCAATGCCAGTTCTCTTATTTCCGATTTTGTCTATTGCCATGCTGGTTGAGCAGCATAGCTTTGAGGTTTCACTGGATCGGATTTGTGGGGATTGACAGTCCTTCTGCAACTGCTTCTGAAAAGCTGCTACCTGCAGCATTACCCGGAGGTGGGCAGAGTCTCTGAGATCTGCGCACGCTGGAAGCTGTGATGAATGGAGTTGTACTTGGCATAGCAGAACTGGCCGTAGTCCTCCAACCAACGCGGAAGCCACAATAAATCTCAGACGGAAGATCGCCTGTCTACTACAGTTCCATTCCCCGCAATCCCTCACACTCGCACACCAGCAAAGCTACGACTTCGGAGACAAAAACCGACGAGCAGGATGCATCTCTGAATCAGTTGCAAGCTTGCTTTCCACACCCAAGTAAATATAACAAAACATGGTATAGTACAATATAGAATAAAATACGACATATAGTCAGAAACCGAGCTGCCCGGAAGACTCGAAAGCACCTAACAGCTGTGGCCTGGGTGATGTGGAAGTGGATCGGGTACCTGTCAAACAGGAGGCTGTGTTGCGAATTTCGAACAGCCGCACGAAAAATCACAACAGCAACCATACTCAGAACAGCAACACTAATGACTAATCAATACACCCTGTAGTAGCTATTACAGACACTAGCAAGCAGTGTTACAAAATGCACATCCAACCAGACACGTCGGTTTCGGGGCCCACCGAGACATCTCTCCGGTCTGCCCCATGCGGTAAAACCTCGGTGGTCGGCACGGACAGGATTTAGGGCTGTAGGAATCAGGCTTCGGGGTCTCAAGTTGCAGGTCGATGAACTTCAGGCACAGCAAATTCTCTGGCATCCTGCTTTGGGCTCAGGGTGGGAAGAAATTCCATCTACAGCAGAGTCCTGAACGTGTTAAGTCTCATATAATCTCATGTGTCACATGCCCGAGCAACAGAAGCCGGAAGCTGCTAACTCCAAACGGCCAGGGTCCAGCAGATACCTCGCCAGAATTCGTTGTTCAGGTCGGCCTGTTCCAAGCAGCTCAAGCGCTCTGTGTCCAAGATCCCGGCTCAGCGTTCTCGATGCGGTAGATGCCGCCAAACGCCACCTCTTACAGTCACAGCCGAAAAGGGGCAGCGGATTAGGTCCCGGATCCGACAGAGAATCTCTGAGCAGACATGGGGCCTGCGTGTGGCCACCCCACTGGTCAAGCTCGGATGTCCTTAGAGTCTAGCTGCTTCCAAAAAGCTGCGACGAGATGGAAACACAGCCTGCTGGCAGGCAAGCCCGAGTGCCAGGCGGATCTCCCTGAATCTTCACGTTGCGCGACAGCAATGCGACCTGCCAAATTGGATTGATTGGCGGTAGTAGGGAAAAGGCTTTGCCAGGGGCATGGAGGTGAGTACGGCTCAGCAACGGGGTCCCCTCTGAGACAGCAATCAAGACAAGACTTTCTTGTGACGATTCAAGGAATACTTCTTGGAGTCATCACCAACCCGGTGCCCTCAAGCCCAAACCCGGGCCCACATCCCTCCCTTGTTAGTCCTCAATGTTTAGAGACGCCAAGCTTTGTCTAGGGCTTTGGGCCGGTTTCAGGGTTCACAGGATGGAGGCCGCTTAGGGCTCAGCCCTAATGCAAATCCTTGGAAAAGCCCTAAAAGCCCTCATAAAGCCTGCACACACCAACCCTCTTGTCCCCCCTTTTTTTCCCCTTCGCTATCGGACCTCGGCCGACAAGTCGATGTACTCCTCGTCCAGGGGCCGGACGAAGAAGGTGGAGATATGCTGGAACCTCGAAGCTCCGAGGCTTTAAGGGTGTAGGGCCTTTTGGGGCCTTTTGGGGCCCTTAGGGCCTTTAGGGCGTTTAGGGCCTTTAAGGGCCTTTAGGGCACCTCCATGTTCCCCTTGAGAGCTCCGGTGAGGGTTTCGGGAACCTCGAAGTTCAGGGTACTCGTAGTGGTAATAACTGGATCTATCTCCAAACAGGTCGAGGCACTCCCCAAAAGCAGCCGAGACCTTTAAAGATTATATACAAAGCTCTCAAGCCCTGGATCCGGGACACCAGGGCCCCAGCTCCAGCGGCGCCGTGAGGTAGATGGTCTTCATGTCGGAGGCCACACTTCGAATGAACACGCGCCTGGGGTCCGTTTTAGAAGGTCCCCTGATCTGGGAAACTGCTAGTACGATAAAGGGGGCACTCTTCATGGTCCGTCTGCTGGATTATGGTGCCAACGGAACTCAGCGAAATGGCCGCAGCCGTGCAAAAAAAGCCCCCAAACTCGGGCTGGGGTGCTGCAATGCTTTTGGCTCTTGCTTTGCAAGCCACCCGGATGGAAAGGTGCAAGACACCCGGAGGTTGGTCACCCTGCCGGCCCCAAGTCCTGACATCCTAAAGCCTGCATGCTACACCCCCGACAGGCCCTCCTTGGGCCCAAATCCTCAACCCCGGCCTCCGGCCTCCGAGTCCGAGCCTTGATCCCGCCGAGGCTCCGACGCTACAACGAAATCGATCTCTGTGGTGCTATCAGTGGATAGGATTTGTAGCTGATGTGTGCTGCTACAATGCTATTGCAGCTGTCCTACTAGGTTACTAGGAGCAGAAAGCGTCGAATCATTTCTGAAGCCTCGCACCCACACAAACCCAAGCCTTAAGCACCGAACGATCAAAGCTAAGGCACTAGCCCCTAAACCTCAGGCCCTACAAAGCCTACACACCTACATTGTAGAACAGTTCTACGCCCGCAAACTCCGATGCAAAGCTCCGGGCTCGTTCTGGAAGTCCACTGGCCTAGCTTGAGGCGGCGATCATAGCAATACAGCCCATGCGTACTATCTCTGTAGGGATTAGGGTTTTCGGGTTTAGGGGTTCAAGGTTATAGGGTTATAGGGTTTAGGGTGTAGGGCATATCCACCCCTTACCGTGCAAAGCCGTAAGTGGTACAAGTCCTGCTGTCACCCAGGGTTATGGCACAGTCTGCCAGCAACGGACTTGGCGCAGACAGTCGGGGCTGCAGCTTCGTCTGCTTGGTGTCTAGGAGAAGGGACGGACAAGATTCGGCCAGGTGTAGATCTCGAACAGATTTACCAGCTACCTTCCCCAAACCCTACACGCCCTAGACCCCTAAACGCGAAACCCTAACTGGCCCTAACTTTTCTCGTGTTAGGGAGGCATCGCGAAGGTAGCAGCCTCTGTTTGACGAGCCCCGGGCGGTGCTCCGTGCAAGCCGTTACCGTCGAAGTGCTTGTGTGGGATCTCCGTGGCCTTGCAGGGGATGCTGCTTTGCGCAGGGATATTTTCATTATTACTAGTAATATTGATACTATTGTTATATATCAGTAAATTATTGCTATTAGTTGCAGTATTATTATCATTATTATTATTACTATTATTATTATTATTCTACTTCTTCTTATTCTTATTGTTATTATTATTGTTATTGTTATTGGTATTGCTATTGTAATTATTACTATTATTATTGCTAAATTATTACTGTTTTTATTATTGTATTCTTACAACAGTATGATTCGTATTGTTATTGCTCCTACTACGATTATTACCATTACTTTATCGCAGTTTCAACTTCGGACATCTCAGGCCCCGACGGCGACCATCAGCTCCTCCCCTGCTTGCCAGTCCACGATGTCCTTCCGAGTCAGGTGGCGGAGTCTGGGAGCTGATGCAGAGCAGTATGAAGAGGGCAGAATGCCAAAAAAAAATCGGAAACATACTGCAGTCACAAGCCGCGCAGACCCCACCTGCAGGACGATCTTCATGTCTCCAGCCTTGGCTGTTTCTGCCAGCCTTGTCCACACCTGGCAGATGCTGCGCGGGATGCAGGTGTGCACAGGTGCGATGAAGGAATGCTCGTGCGTGACCCCCCGCAATAACAAAAGCCATAGAGACGGCAAAGGCAAACCTGAAACCCCCAGAGCTATGCTTGCCCCTGAACCTAGACCCTAAACTCCAAATCCAAGCCCCTGTGCAGCCTGCAACTCAAAACTGCAATCACGGAGTTCGCTGCCCCGCCTCTCCAAAAGGCTGTGAGCACAGTAGCCCCGTCTTAGTCCCCATCTAACCTATCGTATGCCCCAAAGCCCTGTCCTAATTACAACCCTGAAGATTTGAATTACGCGGGAAGTTTGCCTTCAGACGGGGCCGGCCGTGGATGTCCATGGTTCCGATCTCAGCCGGTGGCTTGGGTGAAAGTTGGGACTGGGGTTCAGGGTTTAAGTTCTGGGTTTCAGGAAAGGTTTCTAGTCTTTCTTTGGTATGGAGTCGAGGATGCATCGCATCCCTCATTTTGTCGCAGGGATTTGGGTTCACAGTTCATGGCTCCAACCTTGGGTCCCACACATTACCCTCCTCGACGGCATTGTCGCCCAGCTCGCGGTATGTGAACCTGGGCTGTTGTACGAGTATCAACCCGTGCTGCGCGTCAAAAGCCAAAAGGTGGCTTCACGAATCCAGCCCGGGCGCTGCGTGTTGGAGACGGCCAGCACCTTGCCTCCAATGACGGGCCTCACAGGTGCAGAACAGCAAAGGAGAACGCATCAGTGTAGATTCAGGGAAGCAGCTCCATGAAACGAAGATAGTATCTAGTTGTTATGTGGGGGGAGCTGCCATTGATCCTACTTTACGTACAAGTAATCAGAACTCCATGAAAGTCCGTCGATCCTACATAAGTTGCTCATCCGGCTTCTGAGAAGCGCACAAACGGATGGTGGAGTACTTGAAGCCGTAGAGCGTGATCAACGCCTGGCTGCTACAGTGGGCTGTATAGGGGCCTTAAGCACTAGAATAGGGTGTGGGGGTGTTTCCCGGACTATGAAGGGTATGCGGCTGCTCATTGTTCAAACCCCTATGTTGGTTACGGGTTAGGCCTTCATGGGTGGCCAGCGTAGCACATACTATGAATCGAAGCACCCGGCACTGTAGAAACCCTTCACCAACAAGCAAGGTGGAGGGCTCTCGTGGTTTTCGTGCAGCTATCGCATCATTCTTAACCAAGACCCAGCTGAATTCATCCCGACGACCCGTCTAACCCTAAACTCAGTCGAATGCAACTGAAGGCGGCAGGACTCGGTGCATGAATGGCTGGGATTCCGTTCCAATCTCGAAGGTTCCACCCTGCGGCACACAGGATGCACGGGAGGGTCCTACAGGTCTTACAGGATTCGGACTCTGCCCTTTCAAGGGAAGCCCTCTGATCAAGTCTGTGCCGGGCCCTGCATTCTTGGAGGACGAGGCGCGGGAGCAGCATGGGGGCAGGAGAAGGGAGGCGGACAGCCTAAACGAAAGGAAATCCCAGGTTGTCGTGTAGTGTAGGAGGCGGGTTTCCCGGTGTTGCGATGGAGCGCGCTCTGCTGTCATTCCATTCCCAGTCGCGAGTGTTAACCGTCGCTTCGAAACTCTTCGAAGGTTCCTACTCAGCTTTCTTTGACGGTTTCTACAACTGTTTCATAAGGGCTGTACAAGTGTAACATGAAGGGTTTAGGCAAAGATGTTCAGGCTTTCGGGGTTCGGTTCGGCTCTCCGCTGGCTGCAACAAACCAGAAAATGTGGCCGCACCAGATAGCACCAGACAGAGAACCCTTGAACCCGGAGCGCAACAACAGCAATTGTGCTAGCGGCAGTGGCAGCAGAAGCGTCATCATCATCAGCAGAAGTAATCACAATAAATGGAATAATTACTAGTAGCACAGGCAATAAAAAACAACCATCGTGATGATCGCAACCATGATTTTCAAGAGCAGTAGTACTGATAGTAAGAATAATCAGAACAATGAGAACGAACATCATCGTCGTGATCACAACCACGAGGTTATGAAAGACGTTTAGCTTTCAGATTCGTTTAGGGTTGGAGGGTCTTGGCTGTGGGGGTTCGGGGCTTAGGATTTAAGGGTCTGAGGCTTTGGGGTTTCGAAAGCGGGGTAGGACTCGGGGGTGCAGGGTTTAGGTGTCTGCAGCGGGCCTGCCTTCACCCAGATGTAGGTAGCCTGGAGGTGGATGTCCTTGTTATCGAAGACCAGAACACCTGGTCTCCAGCAGGCAGAGCCGCTAGAAACTCCGACGTTGCATAGTGCGGATCCCTTCGTGATGGCTACATGAAGAATTCGATTTTTTTGAGGGATCTTGGCCGTCTAGACGAGACTTGGCGATCGTTTCGCCGAAGGTCCAACATCTATCGGAGGCGTCCGATATCCTATCCGAGGTTGCTACGCTGCTACGACGGACAGAGCTGAACCACCCTCAAAGTCCCGCCTTCCACGCTAAGCATCAGCAGCTTCGGTGTGTCTTGATCCTAAGCAGATGTTCCAGCAGCTTTCACGGGTCGGTTGCGAAGGGGTTTCCTGCGTGACCTGTGGCCGGGACATGAGACTTCAACAAAAGCGTAGCGTCTTGAGATTGTTGGGGTGTCGGTATCTGTGCAAGAATACATTCTCAAAGTCGATCACGTCGTGAATGCTTTGGTTGCTGCTCTTGCTCCAAACCCTACACCTAAGTTCGTAGCTGCCGCTCGTGGCAAGACCCGCGACATATCATACGGTCTGTTTAACCGAAGCCTGATCGGATGTGTACGTTTTAGGACGCACGCCCGAAAAAAAAAAACACAATCCACAAAGACCACTTAAACTATCCGAAAGTCAAATCATAACACAGCAGTAAAGACCGCAAAATCTTGAAGCAGCAAGCCTGATTAAAGTACTACAAACAGCATGTTCATTGTTATCATACTGACTATAAGCATACTTCTTATGTAGCAATACCGGCAGCAGCAGAAGCAGCAGCAGTGGTCGAGGGTGTCGTCGTCGTCGTCGCTTCGTCTAGCAGGAGCAGGAGCAGTTCCAGGAGCAGGAGCAGGGAGCAGCAGCAAGAAGGAGTGGCCTGTACAAGCAGGATGCGGCGGTAGCAGTACCAAGAATACGACTGCAGGTCGGCTCGCGAAGAATGCACCGAGTCCCCAACCAGCAAGATGGCTTGCCCCGTTGGAATGATCACCAGAGCATCGTCCAATGGGGGTTCCTCTGCTTGAGGCTAGGTGGGCGCCGTAAATTTCGCAGGGCCCATCCGGACCGACAGGGTCTTAACAGAGTAGGTGGCTCTT